CACGTTTCAGAGAGGAGCATCGTGATTAACAATCGTGAGTTGCTATGTAAACCCTTAAGCCACGTTCAGGCGACACAAGTGGCGTTTTTGATACACCCTGCCAGATAAATTGCTCTCCAAGGCACTAGGCCATGTTCTTAAAGCTATGGTCTAGTGGTTAGCCGACGCAATTGAAGGAAATTTTTACGGTCCAGCGCGATAAATATGTTGAAACAGAACACATACTTTAACTAGCACAGGTCTTCATCTCACAGGCTATCACTTTTCACTAGGCTTTCTTGTTGATCTTCAGGATCCTAGACAGAGAACGTTAGCGAGTGTGGCCTTGAAACCGACATTCCGACGGAATCATATCGTGTCAGTCAGGCAGAATGGGCCAGAGATTCATCCGTTAATCGAAAGCAACAAGCCAAGATGACAAGCGGCGGCGAATGATGTTTGCATGGAACGTCGAAGGTGATTCTACTGTGCATCCGATCGGTTCATTTGCTTCCACAGGGACATCACTGCAATTATTATCATCAAAAACAGTATACCAGCCACGTGAACCCATGCTTCGCTGCCGTACAACCTTGGTGACCAACGTACAGTACGCAGAAAAATAAGGAGAAAAGCGTAACTTACCGGAAATCCATAATGCTCTAAACAAACATACAGTCAAAGCGCCTACACTTTGTGTCAACAACATACCGTCACATCGTGCAATCATAAGGAGGTATCGGTAAAACAGCTTGCTTGCCGCATTCTCTGCCCGGGGACTAAACCATCCACTACCCCGCAGATAACTCAGCAACATATACACTTTAAACAGGCGCGCCAACTAGGAGACGATAGCAGAAGCGCCACTGGTGCCGACTGTGAGCCATGTCCTGCAATGTATCGAGCCAAGCACAAAGCGAGTCTCGTGGACTCCAGCTTGGAAGACAATAGGGATCAAAAGCACACAGTTTTGCAGCCAGTAACTTCATTTTCCGCCGCCAAGGTAAATTTTCCTCACTTTGCGCAATGCGTCACGCTACCTCCGGGAAGCGGTGACTGGGCATGTGAAGCACGTATCCAAACCAACAAAACTTGCTCAATGTTCGAAAAAACTAGCCTAAAAACCACAAAATTGTCTTTGTCTACGCGTATCGTAGTTATAGCGACGCTGGTGTCACCCCACATCGGCATTGTCTCCCTGATGCCCGGGTTCCTAGGACCAGTAGCGCAAAACGGAGCTTGCGATAATTTCCTATCGCTCCCCCGTCCTCCATTTCTTTAGTCCGACTGGTGCACCAAGCTGCCTTGTCAACATGCAGGCTCCACCACAGTTAACTCTAAATGGTCCTAGTGGTTATGTGGCACCCAGAGCCAGTGGATAGTCCACTTTTGGATTACAACAGGTTCATCGACCTCTCGGATATCCATTGATTGGCGCGGTGACCGCTGATAACGTCGCAATCAGAGGCTCCCGCGTCGTGCAAACAACGCACGTCGTGCAACACATGGCCGAGCCAGTGGATTCTGGTGTGCGATTTAAGGGTGCCGAGCAGTTCACTCACTTCCCTGGATCAAATACAATAGCCAAAAGATATGACCCCGTAACAATAAGCATAACTTAACTGGCAGCGCTGCGCATCAGCACTGGAGTCGGTGGGGGGTATAAACGGCAATTGCAAACAGAGTATATGGCGCTACTTCGTGAATCGACCTCAGTTGATATCATCAGACGAAATGCGCACAAACCGTTGTCTAAGGGAATCCAATGGACCAGCGGTGAGTCGAACTTGGAGATAAGAACAATGCCAACCCAAACCTGACTAGTGGATGCCGAATTAGCATCTCCGGGCGCGTGTAACCAACATACATGTATCCATTATACAAGTAAGCTGCAGGTAGAAAATACCTCAACTATGGTGGCGCAATAGAAAAGAAATAAAACATGAAACAGAGGCACGCCGGCTGAGGCACCGTGATAAATATCATTCCGGAGAAGTAAGAGTCGGCTATTATGCCGCAAAATAGGAGTTATATTATTCTCAATAAATGAGATCCGGCTTCGAGGAGGAGGGACAAGGAAAGTCACAACACAAACGCCATGGAGGTACGCTCCTAGCCATGTTAACAAGTGTACCCAACCAAACGTGTCCATCGTATTTCGGATCCCAACAAGAAAGCCCAGAGGCTCTAACCGAGGCCAATTTCGAAATAAGGGCCTGCATCCTTCTCGACCAAGTCATCGCTTGGCCACCTATTCTTCGATCTACACGACGTGCAAACAGTGCACGTCGTGGGAGTCGGTGGACTGGCATACACAACACGTGGCCCAGCCATCGGAGTCCGATTCATGAAATAACTTACTGCGCCAAAAATAAGGCACTGAACGCCCCCCATTTCTCACACGGTGTTCCCACCAGTTAGGAGCCAATCTGCGAAGGCACCGGTGGTCAAACGTAATTAGACTCTTTAAATCAGCTGGTTTAATGGACCAGGTTTCACAACGGTAAAGTAGGGTCGAACGTACGATTGCACTGTAAACTCCAGCCTACAGAGTGAGAGGGTTGTTGCGCCGACGCCATAGGTGGCAAAGACAAGAAAAGCACCTACTGCCTTTACTATACTATTTGTGACCTCATCTGCAATTGCAACGGCGCTGATACAACCACCTAGGCAGCTAAACTTTCGAACGACATCCAGCTGATCCCCACCAAGGGTCAGCGCGGGAGGCGGTCCCTGCCAATCTTGAAGGAAAGCTGTGCGCTATGAGAGTGTAATGCAAAGCCCGAAACAGCTGACGACCGGTGCTAATCTGTCCAGTGCAATTTGGCACGTCTGGGAGCTGTCACAGATTAGCGCAATATCGTCCGCATACTCAAAGTCAAGAAGTCGTTCACCTGGGAGCAACCACACCTAAGTCGTGTCTTGTGAACGCGATCTCCATGACGCCGTCAATAGCGAAGTTGAAGAGGAAAGGTGACATCACCATCCTTGTCTTACGCCGCTGGTGATATCGAAGGGCGGCGACAGCTTGTCGTAAGTGCTCACTCTGCCCCAGCTACGCGCGTAAATCGCCCGCTTAATGTCTACATACTTCTCAGGCACACCTTACCTTAGAAGACAGTCCCAAAGGGCACGTCGATCAACTGAATCGAAGGCAGCCTTGATATCTAGAAACATCACGACGGTGGGCCGCCAATAGGTGTGACGGTGCTCCGACAACTGATGTGAATATGTGGTCGAGGCATCCCCGACCACGACAAAACCCGGCTTGCTCATTACAAATCTGGCTTTTACGATCGTAAGTAAGCCGGTGAAGGACTACAGAGGCGACGGGGATCAGACTGATTCCTCTGTTTCCACATTCCGAAAGTGAGCCTCCTTTAGAGATCGGGGCAATAACGCAGCGGCTCTAGTCGGTTGGGAGAGTTTCATGCTCCCAGTTTCACTAGTAATTCTTGTATATCATCAACAAGAGCAGGGCTCCGAGTATAAAGTGTAACCAAGAGGGAGAGCATAAGCCAGATGGAGGTAGTGCAACTACTACGTGAGGGTCATTGATCCTAGTTTCGAATCCACAACACACATTGACACCCAACTTGTCCAATATGAGGCCGAGTACAGTCTGTTAACCTTTCTTAGAATGCGAAGGTTGAAGGCCACCAAGAACACGGGAGAGTGCGGCCTAATAAGGGACTGGCATTGTCAGCACAAAATGTGATTTCTTAAAGCTGAGTGACAGGTGATGCATGATACGGCTGATGTTTGATGAAGTAATCATGGTTGGCTATAGAATTGTAGACTGATAGCTCAGGTTGTTCAAATAGCGGTTGAACTGTTCGCTGAGCCTAGCAATTCTGCTGCAAACATTTTGTCACTAATCGAGGTGACATCATCAGTGCATAGTTGCATGGCGTGCAGTAGCGTAGAGGAGCCTCGGTGAGAGTGCCTCTCAGTGAAAATCGAATCAGCTAAGCGCGGAAAACGGAAACACAGCACACATCAGCTACAATGGAATGTTAAACCACCAAATGTAGCCAGTTTACAGATCCCTAATAGCATGCAGATGTGTGGATGATAGAATCAATAGTTGTCATCAACTAATAAAAAGGAGCTCGAAAAAAAACAGGAGGAAAATACGCTGACGATGGGGGGTTATGGGTAGGTGGCACTTGCCGGTTAGCTAATCCAAAAGCGTAGTTATGCTCGGGGACGCATAATTCTTATGTGATCAAACAGACATAAACATAAGTTAGCAGGTCAGATGCTTCAGGAAGTGTACTCAAAGTCGTGGATTTAAAAGGAAGTGAAAATATACCCAGTTCGGTAGTGTGACTGCATTCTCAATGGGTGAAAATCCTTAGAGCACGCCATATACAGAGTTGGAGGCTAGTGAACGATTTGTCAATGTAAATCGATAACCGAAAATGCTACAGTTGATATCGTGGTCAAAAAAGGTACGTTTACGCGGGTTCGCAACCATTTGACCAGGAGCTTCTGGGTAGTAAAACATAGTGAACCTTATCGTACTGTACGCCAACCGAGGTAAATTTGTAACGGGTAGACTGCTGCTCGCTATGGACGTTTCCACAACACCCAATGAAGAAGATGGTCAGACTGTTTACCTAGCCCTTAACCATTGATTCGTATGGCAAGAGCGGCTCTGGAAGGGACCTAGAGATTGGCCACAAAAGTAGGTCAAGTGAGTGAGGCGCATAAACCATCCCACAAACCTAAGGCATATTTCCGTCGAGATGGCTGTCAAACCCTCAGTCCTCAATCGCGCAGGCCCTAACGTGTCTGCTTCGGATATGGTCACGTATAAGTAAGCTGCGTTTGGCTTACCAACAATATAATCGCGGTGCATATGAGAAACACTAAGCCTGACGGCTGTCAAAGAGTCGCAAAAAGGTTGTTTGTTAAACTTAGGTATTCATGTTGCGGCAACGAGGTAGCAAATATATGGCGTGTTGGAAGCAAAGGCTCGATAGCAGAGCTGATACTCTATGCAATTATCATTTCAGGGTGGAGCTGCGTCCTACACCGGAATCACCTATTTGAAAAGAGAGCGATTGCGGCGTTCGGCGGAGGCATGCGAACTTGCAGGCAGACAGGTTCAGTCGTCCATTTCGGAGAAAATGTTGGGGGAACAATTGATGAGCATCGACGCGGTGGATGATTGGAGTACAGTGGGTTTAGAAGATGCACCGTTTCTCAATTTACCCGACGCACTGCGTGAGGGAGACCTGCAAGCGGTGAATTGGCCTCGAGCAGAAGATCTGCTTTTTATGACCCTGTGGATTTACGCGGTGTTATTACACATTGCGCTTATCATCTTGTGGATCTACTACATTCACCGATGGCGTACACAATCACCGGCCACGTCCTCGTACAGCCAACGAAGTTCGGGCAAATAACACATCCACTTTTCCTCATTTCAGCTTTGAATAACAATAACGTGAATATAACTAATATTCGGTGTTCTCTAGCCAAATAAAGTGGTCATTTTTTTGAAAACACACCAACAAGGATCGAGTAGATGATTGCTAGACTGACACTGATTTCAAAAGTAGCAACGGGATCCGAATGGTGGAATCACTGGAAAGTTTAACTACAGAGAAGCATGCAGCGTCGTGCAGAGGGAAGTAAAAAACACGGAGTTCGAAAAAAGAGCGACCAAATGCTGGTGCTGCAAAAGGATGTGAAGACTGCGAGTTTGATCACTAATTGATCACTAGCATAGAAATTACTATACACACGTGACTTGCGTTCGACCAAACAATCCGGTAGTCAGGAACTGTGTCCGAAAGTAAGCAGGTATAACCAACTGAGCTGAACTCTACTAATTCGGCGCCCAGCAGAGTCAAAATGCATCTTAATTTGATAGAACCTGGTATACAATGAGCTGAATAAGATTCCGAGGTAAGCAGTTCATGTAATGGAAAAGTACCACGAGGAAATTGATCGAAGGCTGGGTCATATTGAATTCTGTGGCCATCTTCAAACAAGGTGCTGGAATCGATCCCAAAATCGGCCTGGAATTCCCAGCAATCACAGAACGATTCCGAAATCGGTGGTGCGGTCGTATTAGACTCTCTGCGTCACTCTCAAATGCGCCACGCGACGATCGCGGTGTTTTACGGTTACACATTTGGCTTTATCAGTTAAACCGACCAAAGCTGAATAAACCCTAAAAAGTACCAAGATGGTCTTGATTTGAACACAGAGTTACAACTCCAATTAGACATATCACCTGAAAAGGCTAGGTACCCTCCTCAAGTACCAGAGAATATCCAGTTGTCACACAAAGTAAATAGGCAGACGAAATAGGTTGGGTTGGAAGGGTTGCAAGTTGCGATAGGACAAGAGTGAGAAAAAGAAAGAAGTTAGGAACATACCGATGCAGCGACTGCGTGTCGAAATCATCGGCCAGGTGTAATAATGACCGATCGCAATCCCGGAGCAAAATGAGTAAGAGCAGCATTGTGGAGGAATAAAAGATATGTACAATGAATTTATTTCATCAGAAGCGATAAAAGTACACAGAATCCGGTCCCTCATCTATACATACTTCAGGAGATGTCCGCGGAAGGGGAAATCGACAAGTCAAGACGAAGGTATTGGGTAACACTTCTTGCTTCACTTTGTCCTCGAATTTCTCCATCTGCAACAACAAACCACATAAAAAAATCTTAGTGAAACATAGCATTTGGTAGAACATGCTAAAGATCACTGGTAAGAAAAGGAGGTTAGCCACATTGATAACAAAGCCAAAGTAGAAAAAGATATCAGCCGTATGGCGGTACTATGCAGCGACGCTTTGCTGCCACGTGGCCACAAATGGTCGCATACGGGCAATATCCCGCATTCGGTCACCATACAATCAATCTGACCTTAAGAGGAGATAAGCAACAAAATCGTGACAGTGGCACCGCTGGCATGCTCCTTCATATGGTACGCGAAATTAGCAAGCATAAATGCCATGTACGTATTGGGATGGCGAGAAAGAATAGGGAGATTTGTAAGTGCAGACGGTATGCGACGGAGTTCAGTAAGAATTGAAACACGGTCTCAGAGAGATGAGTGAGCGCGACAATCGGATCGATTCGGTTAGTGGTAAAAATCCGGAACGAGATGTTCATTCCAGCAGTGGTATCAGAGGTTACAGTAGTGTGTACTAGAGTCTCACCACGGTATGATGCCTAAATGGTTGAAACTATTTGACACTGATCACTTTAAGTCATAGAGATACATCGAATAATCACCCCTGGTTTTGAGCATAATTCGATCTACAGAGATACAGAGGTTGAACTCAGGTAACTCGAGGGGTACGAATGCTAGGAGCAGCTGATGTAAAATGTCATCGAGATGAAATGGACAACCGCCACTGGTAGTCTACATAGACTTATCCGTTGAATAGCTGGAAGGCGACAAAAAACCAGCTATGAGTGAAGTACTGTGTGAAAGAGGAAAAACGATACAAAATCGTCAAGATCGGCTTGTTACTTGAGCAGCACACGAGTAGTGGAATTTCAGTTATCTAGTTGGGCAATTCAGTGCCACTTCAAGCAACCATAACGCTTCATTGCCTATAAAAGTTAAGGTGTCGAATGAACTTCGTTTCCTGCACCGCAAGCAGTACTAGCTCTCTCTAATTCACGGGCTCTTGACACACACCAGCGATCCAAGTTAGTTCTACGACTACATGTCAGTAGTCAATAGAAGTTGTTATGACACGCCGAAATGCAGTGCTCAACGGAACCTGTTTCCCTTTTCTGAACAAATTGACCAAAAACTCTGGGATCCACACAGTTCACAAGTCTCAAGTTGGGAGCAGGAAAGAAGTCAAAAGCATCGCTCATGCCTGTCATCCTTCACAGATTGACTGGCACTCGTGAAAGCCAGATTCGTGAGGCGTAAGTCGGTTTCCGTCGAGGATGAGGTTGCATCGACCATATCTTCAATTTACGACAATTGTTGGAGCACCGACACATATATTGTCGACCCACCGTTGTCATTTTCCGCGATATCAAAGGTATCTTCGATTCGGTGGATCGATGTGTCCTTCGAGACTGTCTACTCAGAAAAGGTGTGCGCGAGAAATATGTAAACTTGATCCGAGCGCTATACCTGCGTAGCTCGGGCAGACTGAGGAGCCATGCCAACCTGCCGCTGCCCTTCAATATTTCCAGCGGTGTAAAACAAGGATGCCCGCTGTAAACTTTCCTCTTCAACTTCGCTATTGACGAAGTCTGGAAATCGCTTTTAAAAGATATAATTTAGGTGTGGAGCTGCTCCTGGATGAACGACTTCTTGATTTGGAGTATGCTGACGACAGCCCTCATCTGTGCAGCTTCCAGACGTGCCAAGCGGCATTGGACAGAGTAGCACTGGAGGTCAGCCATTTCGGACTATGCATTGCACTCTCAAAGTGCACAGCTTACTTTCAAGATTGGCAAGGACCGTCTCCTGCGCTGACCATTGGTGGGGATCAGCTAGAAGTCGTACAAAAATTCAACTACCTAGGAAGTTGTATCAGCGCCGTTGCAATTGCAGATGAGGTCACAAACCATGTAGCAAAAGCACGAGGTGCTTTTCCTAGTCTTCGCCACCCATGGCGCCGGCGCGACATCACTCTCAATCTGTAGGCTGGAGTTTACAATGCGGCCGTACGTTGGATCCTACTTTACCGTTATGAAACGTGGCCCATTAGATCGGCAGACATAAAGAGGCTAATTACGTTCGACCACCGGTGCCTTCGCAGATTGGCTCCTAACTGGTGGGAGCACCGTGTGAGCAATGAATGTGTTCGACGCTTTGTTTATGGCGCAGGAAGAAGGGAACCGCTCAGTACCGTTATTTCACGAACCAGGATATGATGGCTGGGCCATATGTTGCATATTCCAACCCATCGACTCCCGCGATGTGCAGTGTTTGCACGTCGAGGGTGTGGATCGAAGAAGAAAAGAGGTGGCCAAGCGATGACTTGGTCGAGATGGATGCACGCCTTTACTTCGAAGTCACCCTCGATTGGAGCCTCTCGACGCCCTGGTTGGGATCCGAAATACGATGAACACATTTAGCTGGAAACAGTTGCTGATATGGTTGGCAGCCGACTTCAGTGGCGCTTGTGTTGTCAATTTCTTTTTCCTTCCCGTTCTCGCTTAACTTCACCTTCCAAGCACGACCTCATTTTTTAGCATATTATAAATTTTACATAACACAAATTTTGCGACACAATACCGGCTGGTATCTACCGGCCGGAACGATGCCCATCCATTACTGGTGGCTCAGCTGGCGTTCCTCAGTTGCAGGTCTTATTTTTCTTCTTTTCTTATGTATTGCGGCTTACGTGTATGATGATGATGATGACTCAAGGCACACATGAGACCATTCCGGTCAGGATTAGTCTCACCATCGTCATTCGTCATTGACAACTGGTAGACCAGTTTGCAACGATATAGCTGAATTGCGGGCTCCGAGTTAAATTTAGCAGTAAGAAACATAAAAGTTATGCGCTTTTTGAAGCAGGAAGAGTAAGTGCCAGGTGCGCGGGCACTGCAGCAAGTTCGGAATCTAGGTACGTATTCAAAAGTGACCAACAGTCTTGAACCGTTGTACGCTGTAGCTGATGGTAATATGGTCACTGAGGAATTCGGTGGGTGTCAGGTGATTCGATGTGGACGCTAATGATGGAAAGCAGCGTCGCTGATATAGATATTGTGGTACTGAGTTGCAGGAACCGATCAACATTGTCCGTTCGGCATGCATCGATCCCGAAACGGCCTCAGAGTCCCAAACGTGACCCAGCTGAGCATTCAAGTCACCAGTAACAATCATGATGTCAGTTTTCTTCGCCGTACGGATAAGGGATGAGCTGGCGAAAAGGACTTTCATTCATATCTATGGACAGTAGTCAAATCCCCACACGGTGCTCAGTAACGCCTATGTAGAGGTTAAGTTCAACCGCACACATGCCGTTGTTCAGTGATACACAGTGGAACAGATCACCTTCTGAATGTTTGCAGGGGACAATACGAATCCCATAAATTCTTGAGAGATTGGCTCAATATCGTCAAAAACGAGAAGAACGTAATCATTGTCAGCAGATTCCGAACCTAGAAGTCGAAAATCCGTTACGACGCTGTTATCATGTATGCGTGTTTCGTAGACACAGTACACGTCACATCCAAGAATGAAGAAATTGAGCTAATACTATCTGTATGTCGATCGTATCCGGGGTACGGACGTCGAACAAACCAATGTGAAAATAGATCATTAGTTTGATGGACTAGTTACATGTAACGTTTGAAACAACTGCGAAGTCAGCCGCAATCTCTTGTTTATCTGACGGGGGAGAAGAAAACGGAAAGGAAGGAAAGATAGGAGAAAGTAGTACTGGATATGGCGTCTAGATGATAGATGGTGCTTTTCGAGAAACGGTACAATTTGCATGTTTCGATCGAAGCATGCGTACTGAAACCAAATACACGTGGGGGCTGAAAAGTTTGTATCTTTTTATTAGTAGCTGCCTTGTTTGAGGCGGATGGTAGAAAACTACTGAGCATGAGTGGTTTCTCCCCCACTGTCAGAGAAAATGCAAGCCGTGAGCCAACAAGCAGTAACCTGCTGCTTCCCATAGATGTGATAAAGTAGTGCTGTCCTAACATCTCAACCTCGAAAGATAAAACTGGTTTGTTCTTACTTCTAACCATCGATCTGTGTGATATGCATGGCCCAGAAGGTACATGTGAAGTGCCGCCCGGCATAACTATGTAGGTCACGGAGGTACGCAAACCAGAGTATCCCGTTAGATCGAGTCTCGCCGACAGCATCCCAAAAGACAATTACATTCAATATGCCCAGGTACTTGGATTAGATTCCATGGGCCTAATTGAACTGAGTCAATGCAAATGATAGTAAGATCTAAACCACTGACCACAATGGAGAGGACATCTAAATGAAGATAAGTAATAGGAATACATGAATTACTGCAACAAGTCACGATACAATTTTCTTCCGATCCCACGAGCAGTTAATAAATAATCGAAACACATACATTGTGTGTCACGTAATAGTGTGCTCACCATGCAGTCAACTCCGAACAGAACTATTGTTTTGTACTTCGAAAGGTCTGTCGTCCACAGGTTACCATGTTTAAAAGTCAGAAGTGGTCGCTTCATGCCTACGCGGCGGCCATTCCAGCGAGAGTACCAAACCAGTGGCCGGTTGAGATCAATGCCAACGGCATTTTCGAAGTGTAACTGTGGTCGACGGAGAAGGTCTATAAGCTGAACACGTAACATCAAGTTGGTTCAAACCGGAACGCAACAAACCACGCGACCATCTCCGCTCCCGAGGTCAACAAGCGTGCCAAGTGAGTGATGGGATTCCGTTCGCTGAACTGTTTCCAGGATGTTTGCAATGCTATCTATCTGAGCAGTTGTTGCAGGGACAAATGGAAGGCAAATACGCCGAAAAGCAGGTGCAATAAAGCAGGACAGAGCATAAATTGCAGAAGAAGTAATGATTCCGCAACCAAGCAGGATGTATTGACCTCTCAATTTTCGTTTATCAAGAGACATAGTGGGGGATGGAGGGATGGGCCAAAATCGTCCTTGATATTGAAACAGGGCTGGAGAAAAAGCAAACGTAGAATGAATGAGGAGAAAAAATATTCGAGAAGTGATAAAAAGGGCATATAAGTTTTTAAAACGCCACAGTATGTGATTGTGTTCCCAAACATTCACACCTGAGCGATGAAGCATACACCACATTGTGCGAATACAAAAAGTGAGTAACCATGAGCAGAGGACATCTTTGTTGGCTAGAGTAGACTGGCATTATCTGGCAGCAGGCAGTAGTCAGCAAAAGCCTCGGTATGGGTGAATCTGACAGTATCGCAATCCGCGTACAATCGCCTGGGGCCGCAAGCTAGCGAAGTATCCGCACAAGGCGGTATGCTGTGGATGCCATTTTCACTTGTGTGGCTAACTGGCTGGACCGTAACTTAGTGTGTTCGTTCGTGCGTCCCCATTGTGCGCATTTAATTGGCCTATCCAATTCCCTCCAAAGCAAGTCAGCACATACCACAACATGCGAATTTCAACACCGCTCATGTGGTTTTCCCTGCAGATGTATGCAGTACTGCGCAAGCACCGGTACCTAAAAGCAACCAGTGACTTAACATCCTTAATGCAATGTGACCAGTTCTCCGATTCATACAACAATGCCGGCATTACTGCAACGTTATACCCCGTCTTTGAATGAAAAACTGATATCCCGCCTTATCCATAGATAGTTGAGGCTCGGAAAACTCAATCAGCCTATCGTCAAGTCTTAAATGAAGTCCTAATCACAGCACCCACTCGAGCTATATACGGCACTTGTCCAAGACTACATACGATCAAGCCTATTGCCCACTGTGGTTTTCCAGTGTGACAGTCTCTGACTAGAACACTCTGTACTGTGTTAAATAGACGTGCCTGGGTTCCGTGACTGTAATCCTTCTCCATGCTAATGTTCCTCTCTTGCTGGGCGATACGCTTCGGAAGCAACAATGAACAAATAGTACGGAGTTTCCTACCAATAAGCGCTTCTGGTGATGACAGTATACTTAGTACCCGGAAAGTTGGAGTTGATCTGTAAAGCAGTAGGAAAGCATACAAAATATCCTGTGTGGTTCCTATTCCCTTGGTCTTTAGTAGTGTCTGCATCAACAAAGTAATCCGCTTACCCATAGCTAACCCTTTCATACAAATACATAAAGTCGGTTATGGATTTGCCTGTCACCACTGTGGCCTCCGTAGGACAGCCACAGGACGCCTGTACTCACAGAGGGACCATGAATGGTTTGCGCTGCACCATTCACATAGTCCACATCCCGTGGAAACCCGAAGGAATAAAAGCAGGAGGCATGTGGATGGGAGCCACGTTTCATCAACGGAGCCGGTCCACACTCCTTCACAGGCAAACACAAACACGCAGTATTTGGGGAATCAAACGCACACAAGGTGGTGGCTGGACCGTAGTCCGCTTCACACTGAATGCATGAAACCACTCTTCGAGCCTAGCAGGACAACAAAGACCGTGCACCCAGTCCCCTCCAGCAACGACCAACTGTTTCCTAGAGCCAGTATGGACGAGGTAGTGGGTAATAGACAGGTAGGCAACTTTTCAACATGCACATCAATTAAAGAAACACAGGGGATATCAAGAAACAGCCAAGCACTTGAAACGACCAGATGAAATAAAATAAATCGAATAATTCATACACATGCGGTGGCATAACTCTTTGCTAAATTATATATATATATATATATATATATATATATATATATATATATATATATATAGACAAAGAATAGACAGAGCCATCAAAAACCATGGAAATTAAGGGAAAGTACAACAAATCATAAAAAGAAAACCGGACAAAACAGAGAAATAAACGGTTTTGTCAGTGCGAGATACTACCTGGTTAAATAAGCGGAAGTAGGGTGTTGACTTAGGGGACACCACGCCGAGCCCTTAGCTAAATAGCCTCTCCACAACGCAGCAGAGCGAATTCAGGGAATCACGCCCATTGGGAGCGAGTGACTGACTGCTCAGTTTATACGCCTTTCGTTTGTTTGGTTGACGAACAGGGGCCCAATCTTTTCAATAATTCGAGCTTCGCGTTGCTGGATAAAATGCTTTCCACCGGAGTGAAGCAATGGACATTTCCATATCCATCGCACCAATGGACACAGAAGAGCTGGCATCAATGAAGCCAATCACAAGTTTGAGTAAACCTATGGACGAGTGGACTGAGCGCTTTCGCTCTCAATCTAGTTGTCCCCTATTTTCGGTTGGCTAACAAATATGTTTAATTGCGCTTAAAGAAACTCAAGCAATGGATGGAATCCTCCGAACAGAACATTTGGATGCCAATCCCAGCAACCCGAACTCGGCGAAACAGTGGACTCATCGGTTTGATACATTTACTTATATTTTGGACACCATTGACTGATTGCCGTTCAGTAAGTTAAGGATTTTGGCGAATTAGGTGTCTCCGGATGTATATGACTACATTAAAGAATGCACAACCTATGAACTCGCAATCGAAACTCAGAACTATATACATCAAATCGAAAAACTAGATCTTTGCACTTTATTTCCCAGTCACTAGCAATATATATATATATATATATATATATATATATATATATATATATATATTTGTAAAAGTCTGCTAACAGACTTAATGCCATCAGAAACCATGGGATTCAAACGAAGGTACAGAAACAGTAAAATAAAACACAACACAACAATGTCCATGGTTATCTCAGAGGGCGAGATACTACCCGATTGCCCAAGCCAAGGTAGGGTGTTGACTTAGGGGACACCAGCCCGAGCCTTGGGCTGAATAGCCTGCCCGCAAGGCAGCGGAGCGAATTCAGGGAATCGCGCCCATTGGGAGCCGGTGACTGATTGCTCAGTTCATACGCCTTTCGTTTGTTCCTTTGTCAAACAGGGGCCCAATGCTCCCCAGAAGTACAGATAAGGTTGCTGGAATACAATGCTTCGCCAGAATGAAGCAAGGGGCAGTGACTTTATTTAGTGGCGAGTCACATCCGCCACGTCGCAGTGTTGTTAAACGGACATATGTGGCTTTTTATAGGGAGAACGCTTGTCAGGCGATTACCCACCACGTCCTGGAACACTGCCGCCGAACCACTTGCTGGAACGGGAAAATCCCGAACCACCCAGCTGGAACCACGAGGTTGTTCGGCAAGCCAGCCCCAGTCACTAACAAGCAAAAAGTGGACGAGTCTCTGGACAACTGTATGCAACAGTTAAAACCAATGGCCATGATGGTAACTACAAACGGTCACGGCAGAGAAGAACCGCGAAGACGCCATCCGAGATGCATTCATAACTGGGCTTCACTCTCAAGCTATACGTTTCTTGGAAAGTGTCGCTCGATTTACACACCTTTTGGAACAAGCACGATCTCTCGAGATGGCTTATTGTCAGTCACAGTTATATCAGTCAGAAAACAAATATGGAGCATCTGCCGTAGGTCATTCTAAACCACTACATGTGCCTAGTGCCTCAGTAGTTCAAGGTGACAATGTTGTCGCTACCGCATCGAATAGTAAGTGTTTCTTCTGCGGATCGAACAGACACCATTTGCAACAGTTGTGGAAAGAAAGGACAATGTCAGAAAGTTTGTGGTTTCTCATCAAAAAATACTGGTTCGGTGCTTCGGTACAGTGGCGCCAAACGATCTCTCTCACACCCGCATCAATGTGCTTATCAATAACATTCCTCTAAAAGCTTTGATTGATACTGGAAACACTGAGAGACACATTGCCGCATAGGTTGATAAGCGGTTCTACTGGAACATCCTCAGTTCTCATTGCAAGATTTCGAGGGCTAACACTCACCTAACAAGTTTCACCAGTGATCATTGTCTTGTCAATGTGCCGTATAAAGACAATCATTACACGGGCGTTAAACCGTCCGTACTCCCAAACCATTGTTCAAATATACTCTTGGGACACGATTTTCTTAAACGTCACCAATTTGTTCAAATTCTATAATTTGGCGAACAACCCCTCCGCTGTGTGTGCATTATTGGCTGCTGCTATGGATCTTCCCCCTGTCTGGAAACGATGGTTCCACCTACAAACCGATGGCCAAAAAATCGACGCGACACTCTACCGCGGGGGAGAGGTTTATTTGTGTGGAAATACAAAGGCTTCTCAAAGACGGAATCATCGAATCATCAGTATCTCCGTGGCGAACGCATGTTTTAGTAAGTAGGATTAAGACACACAAATGTCGTATGGCTGTAGATTACAGCCAAATCATCAACCAGTACCTTCTGCCAAGAATTGAGGCCTTTACCGACATGAGTTCTCATTACTAGGTGTACAGTACTTTAGATCGAAAGAGTGCGTATCATCAGATTCCTATTAAGGCAAGTAAAACGAAATTTACCGCAGTTGAATCCTACGGAAGTCTCCTCTAGTTATGTAGTATACCTATTGGTATAACCAACAGGGTCGCCTGTCTTCAGAGGACCATGGACAAATTAATAATCAAGAACAAAAGACCGAAGGTAAACAATTGTTTTCGATGATTCGTCTTCAGACCTGTACAATCATATGGATGAAATAGCAATGGGCAAATAAAAGTGAATTAACGATCAGTTCAAATGAGATTGATCAAGTGTCGACCAAAGGCATGAACCAGTAACAAACAGCAAACTAGGGCAGAGGTACAGTTGCACAATTGCAGTTGCTCTCCGAATGATCCGTTTTGGCTGGCCAAGATAGCTTAACAGCTTCGATCAGCTTCTTTTGTGCACACAAAACCGGTTGATACAACCGAATGCTGATCGCCTCGGCAGTACCAAGGGTGCAGAGGCGCAGGCCTTTCGACTGGAGTGGAGGGAACCTGTATAGTATTCGAAAGGCACTGACTGGGTCAACCTCATGCCCACTATCAACAAGATGAGCCATAACTGAGTTAGTTATAGCTCCAGTACCGCCTCGACGCAACCAACGTGGTAGGTGCTCCTTAATGCGTTTCGACAGTTGCCGCGCCGTTCGACCGATGTAAGCAGCGCCACAAGCGCACTCGAACTGA